CGTCGCGGCTGCAGTTCCACACGCAGCTGGCGCACGGCAGCCCCACGGGCCGCGTGGAGGGCTTCGGCAGCGCCCGCGAGCTGTACGCCCGCATCGGCGAGGTCTTCGGCATCCACCCCGCCCAGGTAGGGCCGGCACCGCCGCGGCCGCGTCCCGCCGGGCCTCCGGGGCTCTTCCCACAGCCCTGCCCCACGGCATCCTCCGACACGGGCTTGTGCGGACGTGCCTGCTTTACACTTCTTGGGAGAAAAAAACTCCCTTTGCTATTCCAAATGAGCGTTACCGTACGGGAAAAAACAGAAGTGTGATTGCATTTAACTCTTGCATGGTAAAAACGATGGTCCTCTTGACCTAAACTCCAGTGTCTCGCTTGACCTGTTGCTGTTTGACACAGCTCTTAGGCACTGCTTCATTCCAGTTAAAAAAGGGACAACTTGATTTATGAGGCTAAATGCCCAGAATGAAGGCAAGGAAGGGGAGGGGATGTGGTATAAATGCCCTGAATAGGACTACATTTTAACATTTCAGCCGAAAAGTGATATTTGGAAAGTTTTCTGCTTTATCAGGTAATTATTTTTAAAAGGCTCACAGTTCAAATGGAGTTATTTAAGTCTGTAACAGGATTCTTTTTTAAGTTCTGATGCCTTTTTGATCTTTTTTTTTTCTGAGCCACGTTCTAAACATTTGTTTGGATAATGATTCATTTGTGTTTGTAAATGCATTGTTTTCTCTTAGTTAAAAGGTAGTGGCCATATCAAGTTCTTCCTATGTGGTTCTGTGAACCTTAACCTCTGAGTGGCAAGTTGAAACAGAGGGCTAACATTTCATTATGCCTACGTGTGGCTGTACAGCTTTACCAGCTTTACTTGTTTTCTTCTTTGTAGATGACTTTTTTTAAAGTTGTAAAGACTACTACTACGACAGGCTTTGTTCTGAGAGTTTACTGTGGCCTGACATAGCATTTCAAACAGTAAACTGTAAAGGGAAGTGGCAGCAGTGAATACAGTTTAACCTGTCACTATTGCATTAAGTAATTAAGAGGCAATACATCCATGTCCCAGACCTTCCCAGCCGCTTTCTGACCTCCTGTGCCTTTGTTTTCTTTTCATCCTGAGCTGCTGTTCCCCTTTTGTTCTGTTCCATCTCAGTTGCACCTTTTATTCTCAAGTTCTCATAATTACCAGATTGTCTTCTATTTTAGTTTTCTTCCTTTCACTGTTGAACTTTTGGCTCCACTGACTTGAGAAAGAACAGCTTTCATGGAGAAATTTAATTTTGTATGAATGGTGTGCTCTTGTTTCTCCTGCTGGATGTATAATCTGACACCCTCAGAGGTTTTAGAGGAAGCACCACGTATCATGAGCATATATTGCCAGCCTTGTGCCAGAATAGGGAAGTTTCTTATTTTATTTTTCTCCTTAATGTTCCGTTCCTTAATTTTTTTTGTGCGTGTCTTATTGATAAAAATGGATGGAGAATTATTGCTGGAGGCACTGAACTTAAAATCTTTCACTCTTTTTTTTTTTCTTTTCTTTTTTACTTTAAGGAAGTTGTATGAAATAAAAATTGTGAACAAAAACACCTGTTGTAAAGGTGGCAAAACAGAGTGAAAAATTTGGACCAGAGAGTCATGTAACAGAATTTTGGTAGAGAGACAAGATATATCAGTGAACAGTCAAGAAATGTGAATTTATTTTAAATGGTATTATCTATTCATTTAAGTTGCTTTTGGACAGATAATCTAGTGTAAAGAATAATGCCAGAAGATACATCTCAGCAAGCTGAAAGACTTTGAGGTACTCAAATGCCGTTTGTAGGTGTTACCTGTCTAGGAAAGTTTCAGTGACCCAGCTCTGCCGAAGCCTGTGGGCAGCGTGATACTGCCTTTGGAAACAGGTCCTATCACAGAGATCTCTACCCTGTAGTGGCTGAGCTGGAAAATAGTGGGGGGGAGTGGAGACTTTGTGTAGAGAGCATTCAGATACCTTTTGCAGAAATAAATACATTTAATATGATATGTGAGTTTTCTGTAGGGTAGGCAAGAGTGTGGATTCTTGGATAAATTCCTGCCTAAGAGTTTTAATATGATTCTGAATGAGTTGTAATCTGCCATTTCTCCTTTTGACTCTACATGGTTACAGCACTTCTTTTCCTCCTTGGATCACATCTCTCAGGACCAGCTGAGTTTAGCTTCTGCTGGAGAATCCTTTCCAGGTTCTGTGATTGACTGCCAACAGTGACAGAGAGAAGTTTATATAAAACACAGTATTTGTTGGACAGACACTGACAGAAAGGTTCTGTGCAGATCTGGCTCATGAGTAGGGTAGGATGGGGACAGGACAAGATGGGTATAGCTTCAAAGGCAATGTTTGCTAGGTATCTATGAAAGACTGAGACATAACAGCAGCTTTTGAGGCTTTTTCTGTACTTATCCTTTCTTGCAGGTATTTTATTCTTCACCCATCTTCCTAGGTGAATATATCTTTTACCCCTTTTGAGCTGAGGGATGGGCAGAAGCCTCCCTTTCTGCCTACCTCTGACTTTTCCCTTGTCCAGCATTTCTTTTCTCTGTCCAGTGTGACTGTTCTTTCTACAGGGGTGTGTGAATATGGCTTCTAGCAATAGATTGCCTGTGCCATTGTCACCAAAACTGTGGGAAAAACAAAATCTCCAACATTTTTTATGTTAGAGAATTAATGCATTACTTGATTCTGGCCAGGATGTGCAATAGAAATTCATCCACACAAGCCTGGGTTGTGCAGTGAAAATCATTCCATCATGCATATTTCCTTAACAGAACTTTTCACACTTTTATACAGACAAAACCCAAAGAAATTCTTGTTCAATGGTCTTAAATTACACAATTCTTAGTATTCGATCTCCTATTGGTTATTGATCCCTTTGCCTTCTATGCTAATTTGGTCCTCATTCTTCAGTTCTCTTATTAGTCTTTTCCCAGACCAGGTGTCTCTGGCCACACCAGGGGGTGATGTTCAGGGGTAATGGTCCTTAATGTTCGCTTATCTCCTGTGTATCTTCTGGTTACCCCCAATCTGTGGGTGTTAACATTTTAAATTTTAAACCCCCGAAGAGTCTTGTAAAGAGAAACTTCAATTCCCTTCCCCTTAGGCAAAGGAGAGCAAATCCCTGGCTAAAGTTAAGTAAAAGAATGTAAAAGTTGTATAATTTCCAGCATCTATTATGAGTGTTGTTTGAGGTAGATCACATTGTTCTTGACTTTTACCTTGATTACTTAAACAGGCTTTCAACAAGAAAGCATAGAGCTAAAAAAAAATGTAGATAGATACATGCAATCCTTAACTAACAACACAACCCACGCACAGTTATGTGCATGTTTCTATTTGCATAAATAATAGAAATATCTCCCCCTAGTCTTTCTATGGAGGTTGAAGTAGGAAAAGTAATTGGAAAAAGTATGTGTAGCTTTGGCCTTTTAGAATTACTGCTCCACTGTTACTATTGGGAATGTAGCAGGGAATGCTGTGTTCCCCGTGAGGGTGAAAGTGCTGAGTGCAGCCTGTATGATAAATAAATGAGCACTGACTGAAGGACAATGTGGGTCTGTTAAAGTGTTTGGTGGTGGTGTGCTCCTGTGAGAGCACATGGTAGGGCTTTAAAGTATTCAGAGTAGCTAATCAGGCACTGAGAACGTGGATATTAAAGTCCAGCTGTAGCAGGGCTATTTCTTGATCAGAGGAGAAGGGAATGGTAACCCATAGAAGCTGTATGGACTTTTTATTTGTCTACTTGCAATTTGCACTTTTGATTATTCTGTTTGCTTTGAAAGGTGAAATGTGGTGGGGCTGGTGAACTAAGTGTAATGCTCAATGACTGTGTTGGTCCAGAGCACTTGGAGGTTGGGGTTTCTTTCACAGTGGAAAGAATTTTGCACCACGAGGGTGATTCAGGAAAAAGAGAGACCTTTCTGGAAGCAGTAAGGGCAGAAATGCCTCTTTCCAGTAACAAGAGTTCAGCTGCTGAGCTTGTGTGTGGGCTGTTGTTCCACAGGCCTTGCCTCCTCAGGCTAAACAGTCAGCTTTATGGTGAGGCTGTGCCACATTAAACATTCTTAGAAGTATTTGATATAAACCTCTTCTTTTATGAAAAACTACTGACGAATAAGCTACTGCTGAAACTTGTGTTTCTGAACAAAACTGTCCTTTTAACAATAAAAAAATCTGAAGTGTGTTTTAGAGAAGAGTCAGCTTGTGAAATCCTCATCACTAACATGTTGGAAGTTTTATTGTTACGCTTATCTGTTGAAAAAAATTGCTCACAATCACGCCTACAGATTGAATACTTTAAGTGAGCAAATTTAACACTCCCTACAAAACACCTCCTCCCAACCCTATGGCAAGAATTGTTTGCTTGCTGTTTCCCTAAGCAGTGCTTAAATGTCACACCCGTATTGCATGTGATACTTGCTGTGTCTTTTTCAAATACTTTAATTGAAAGTATTTGAAATGTTAGTATGGAAATAATTGGATGGAAGAACTTACGCTCTAATACTTGTACAAAAAAACCCCCAACCAAATCCCAAAACAAACAGCAAAACACTGAATTTTCTAAGTGAATGTATTGACAGGTTGAATACCTGACAGTACCAAAAGCACGCTAGAACATGGAGGAGCTGGTTACTCTTCCTGTTGCTGAAGCTGACCAAGGCTCCCACATTTTCCTCAGGGAAGATAAAGCGAGTAAGGTAACTAGAAAATGCGTTGGTGATTTCTTGATGAGATCTACACATAAAAAGGGAAATATGTCAGTGGGTGTTACATCTTGCTCAGAATTAAAATTCCCAGTTCCCTACCTCTTAAACAGAAAGTGATTATGATCTATGTAAAGTTTTTTGAGATTTTTTAAATACATTTTCAATAGCTTCTGAGTGTGTAATCTATCAATCAACTTATTATTGAGTTCTTCTCAAGGTGTCAGCTCAATATGGGAGATGAGAGAATAATTAATGTATAGAACATGCAATATGGTACTGCATATATACTTTATATAACACATCATGTAATCCTCTTTTTCTTAGCTAATAACATTTATTTATATAACACATGGTAAAGCCCTGGTTTTGTTGGCTAATGTGGTCTCTTCCAATAGAAAATATGGGGTGCAGAGAATAATCTGTTAGTAATCTTATTAGACAAATCTATTTTATAAAGTTGTGCATAAGCCCCTAGTGTCCAGTGACATGGTGTCAGTGAACAGTGTCCTTGTTCTGGGTGCTGCTCTTGGTGAAGGAGGTATTCCAGAGACTTTGTGACTGATGTAGGAGTTCTGGTTCACAATATCTTGCTATTGTATTGTATTGCATTGCTTGTGATATTATAAATCACAGCACTGGTATGCTGAATTAAAGATCAAATGCCTATGAAGGTTTAGAGTAAGGACAGAAAAGACTTAACAGTGAGAATTCCACATTAAATTTTTTTCTTGCTTCATTTTTGAATAATAAAATACTATTAAAAATACTCAAAAGTTTAATTGAGTGGAAGCCATCATCTAAGCATTTATCTGTCAGTATATAATCTGTCATTAGGTAGCAATATTAAACTTACATAAAATCTATGACAAAATACCATTTTTGAATTGATAGGTCTCAGTTGTGTACAAATAAAGCTATGCTATAACTAGTAGATGGTGTAGTGGTATATCTTTCTGGGTAGATACATCTTTAGTACATTACTCTTTGCATATATCTGTTCTGAGAAAAAGCTGTTGTTAACTGAAGAGAAGAATGATTTAAGTTTTATTTTTGACTGGCTGATGCTCTCTCAGCCTTGTGGTTAGCACAGAACTGACTCACAAAAAATTCTACAGACTTATAGGCTGTAGTAGGAATGCCATCCAGATGAAGATCTATAAAGAGAAACTCTGGATCAAGTTTCTAAATATCACATTTCTGCTCTGTTGCCAATTTTTTCTATTCAAAGGTGTGACAGTATTTACTAGATTGTCTGTTTGACAAGGTCAGATGAAGGATGCTAATGTCTAAAATGTAAAGATAGTGCTTATTATTCATTGCAGGAACAATGAACAGAGAAGTGAGTTGGTTTTAAACTGGTGAAGTTTTGTAGCTTGAGAGAGCTGAAAATGTGTATGTGATCTTGATATAATCTGTTTTAATTTTTTTGGTTTAGAAAAAGAGCTAGTCATTAGAAGTTATTATTATTAATAATGATAAAATAAAATTAAATTTTCTACTTAAAATCAGTTTATCTAGGTGTTGTTATATCTAGAGTACTGATTAACTGAAAACCTTTGCATTACCTGAGCAAATAAAACTAATGTCTGTTAAGGGTGTGCTGTTACAACTTTCATTGTTAAATAAGGTGTTAGATTGCAGTGGATGTTTGATGGATTAGATGAAATAAACAAGTAGCCATTGAAGCAAGGCTGTTTGGTGGGGGTTTTTTGTTTGTGTTGTTTTTTAAAAACAACAACTAAACAGGACCTTCATCAGGAAACACAATCTCTCTATTAGCTTTTAGTCTTCTAAGATTAAAATCCCCGTATTTACAGATTCTAAGTTCTAGAAAGCTCCAGAAACTTGAAAGCTCTCTGTGAAATACATTAGTAAAAGTATCCACTCTTTGTTTGACCTGGAATCAATTTAAACAGGTTGGTGACTTTCATTTCAATTTTTCTGCTTTCATCTAGTGATGCCAGAAGGAGGGAAAAGGCTTGTGAGTGTCTTTGCCTCAGTGAGGTAGATTTTAGGGATTCTCCAAGTTTCTCTTGGAGTGCAGTTTCTCTGGTTTGCCTGCTGCCCTGTGCTCTCTGGTGCTGCCCAGGAGGAGGCTGTGTGGTTCCCTTGGCCCTTACTCCTCCCCTGCTGCAGCTTGGAAAGGCATGCTGGGCTTGGCCAAATTCCTTCATGCAGCTCCATGGAGGGAAAAAGCATCTCTGTGCCCAGGCGGTACAGATGGGTTATCTCACCCTGCCTCTGCCCAGGACAAGAAACCTCCCTGCTGAAGAACTGACATAAGTGTAGGGAGAAAAAGGACAGCCTGATATCTGGTGCTGAAGGGAAATCCCTCAGAAAATCTGATTTATAAAGAAGAAAATTGACCTTTTTAGTAAGCCTTGCTTTTACTGGAACAGCAATGGTCCAAACACATGCTGGGGAAGGATAGGAACTAAGCAAGCCCATTGGAGACAATGTGCTCTGAGCTACTGAGGGAATACATGGAGCAATACAAAGCATGTCATGCCCTCTCATGACTTTAGTTTTTATAAGTTCTCTCTTAAGTTTTATAAGTTCTCTCTTTTGCTTTTTTTTGTTCTCTACTTTTTTTTTTTTTTCCCCATTAAACTGCTTCCAACCAATCAAGTTTTAAAGTAGTCCCTAGTGATCTTTGAATCCTGCAGAGTTTGAAGTGACTGAATGATGAAGCTAAAGATGGTGATGGCTCTTGAGTTTGTTTACTCTGACCTCTGGTGCAAGCTGTACCAGCTCAAGATGCCTCTCTCAGGGCTGGTGTGCTGAGACAGCCCTTGAGAGGTTGCTCACACAGGTAGGTCTCTTTCCTATGTTCCCTGCCAGCTCTTACCTGCACTTTGAGCTGCTGTGTGTGGATGTGAGACAGATGGAAAGGAAGTGGGATCATTTTAGCTATGGACCTGTCACAGGGGCCTGAACTGTGCTCTCATTTTAGCTTCATATCAAGCTCACCAAACCTAATGCACTGTTAATGTGTTTGCTTTCCTTCTGCACAGATCATGTTTTGCACTTTGAACACTCATAAAGTTGATATGGACAAGCTCTTAGGTGCACAAATTGGCCTTGAAGATTTCATATTTGCCCATGTGAAAGGACAACGAAAGGAAGTGGAAGTTCTTAAAACTGATGATATGCTGGGGCTTACCATTACAGACAATGGAACTGGCTGTGCTTTTATAAAGGTAAACTTAATTACCAGTGAAATACTTTGTTCTATAGAAGCTCCTGTTACTATAATAGGTTAATTATTGGTTTAATGATCCTTTAGAATTATAAAATCTTTTATTATCATATATACATTAAGTAAAGAATAAAGTTGCTTTTCTTTAGGTACATAATTCAAAATTAGTTAATCTAATCTGTACTGCATGTCATTCAAAATCAGTTCATTTGTTCATTGCTTCTGTAATGTGTATCAGCTTTACAATGAGACCATTGTATCTCCCGAGCTACCCTGAGGTGGTAGGTGTTAGATACTGCTTGCATCTGCCCCCTCCTGTTTTAAACTGATTTTCTGATGTCATTTATTAGATGCTTATAGAACTTCTGTCTCTCATGTGATAATGAGATCATATTCTTTCAGTCTCTGGCTGTTCCCAGGGCAGAAGCCTTTGTGCTGTACAAGGGCAGGGGTAAGTATAGTGGTTTTTCAGCTTTCCAGTACTGTTGCCTTAGATAGGGTGAATTACAAGGATATGGATTAACACAATTTACCACAATTAACTTGGGTAGCAAGTATGGGCAGTAACATACACAATATATTAATCATAATTGCTTTCCTTCTCCTCTTCTATGTGACCTAGAGGCAGTATATTTTGAGACAAATAGAGACTGAGGAAATGATGCTGCCCTTCTTGTTCGACTAGGTATTAGGAACCTTTATCACATTTTCTGCCTTTTTGAGATTCTTTGCCCTAATATACTCCAATTACCCATTATTAGTGAGGCATTAGCAATTATCTTTGGTTACTGCTGCCCCAATCACTGTTCTCATTGTAAACAGAGCTTCTTGTATGGAGAGGTTGTATTTTCTGTTCATTCCTTAGCTACCATGGCTACAAAACAAGACACGGTTTCGAAATCGGTTTGCTTGTCTTTGATATGGAAAGATGTGACTGAAGTCATGTTTATAAAAGTCAAGATGCAGTGAAGGTTTCACTCAGCATTTTGGCAAAATCACAGCCTTTTATGTTTATAGACAAAGAACTGTGAATTTCTAATGATGGCATCTATATAGCCCATAGCATTCAGTCATGCTGCTGCTCATGTGGCATTTTAAAAGAAGGCATTGAAAGCAGTGCTTCAGTGAGCAGAGTTCACGAGTGCAGCACTGTGCAGTGACACTCCATTTGTGCTTGCTTGGTAACAGGCAGAGAGAACAGCCCTCCACATAGACTACTGCACAATTGGAGCACACTGGAAAACCCTCACAACATTAGCCAGACAAGCTGAATTTCCAGTAAATTGTATAAAAATCCTCTGAGCAAAAATATATTTTTCCTTGTATTGGTCTAATAGTAAACACTGTAATGAAAATGGTGCAATCTTCATGGGAATGCATCAATTTTAAGGAGTCTCTAGGAACTTAGTTTGTTGTTGCAGATTTAGCTAATGCGTCTTTTAAACCAGCATAGAAAATACATATACAGAAATAAAACCTGCATCTTTTTTTTACTTTTTTGTCTAGGTAAATGACTAAGCAGAGACTGTCTCTAGAGTTTTATAAAATTGTTTTTGCTTATATACATATATTTTCCTTGAAAATTTGTAACTATATCCCATTCTTAATTAAAAATTAATGCTAAATTTACTGATTGGTGGGTTGTTGGAGGTTGATATGGGTTATAGTTATTTTACTGCTTTTTGAATAACAGGGAGGTTTCTAGATTTGATGTGGTAGCCTAACCAATTTTAAACCTGACACTGTACTTCAGGGTTTTTTCCTGTGAAATTTAATCTTGTTTTGCCTTAGCAAGAATAAAACCTGGTGTAGTTCTGCTTTCACAGATTTATTTTTGGGGTACATGGGCAGGTGAGAAAAAGTATTATGGAGACAAATTAGCATTCAAAGAACAGCTGTAGAACTTGAAGTATGACTGAGTGGTGTACAAGGAGACATTATCAAATGGAGTAGGCATTTCATAGGAAATACAGATCCTCATAGCTTCTCAATGGACTGTAGAACACTTGAAATACAGGCAATTGCATCTTAATTACTGTGACAATGTAGCTCGACTGTCTCAGTCAGCTGGAGTGATGATAAAAAGTGGCACAAATAGCAGCCAGTGAATATTATTTAAATAGTTTTAATGCTGGGATCCAAGTGCAGGAGAAAAGCTAAATGAATATTCAACATGTAAACTAAACATTAATTGAAGCCAAGTGGGACAGGTTTTGAGTCCTGGTAACAGAAACGTGTTTGGCACATTTAGTTTCTGCTGTGTATGATACCCATGTCCGTATTCACCATGAGGATTCTGTTTGGTGCTAGAAAGGGTTAAATTCAGCCTGAAGCTTAAAACCATTGCAATGCACTATAGGACAGTGAGCACTCTCACACTTCCCACTGACTCTCAGATGGAGGCACATGTGTGGGCTCAGACATGCGCAGGGGCTGGGAGCAGCTGCTGGGAGGATTGTGCAGCCAGGCTGGCTGTTACAGGGGGAGGTGGCAACGTGTTTATCTGCCTTGTCTCACTGTTATGTCATGCAAAGTTAGCCTGAACCATGTCAGCCTTCCTTGCAAAGATTGTTATTCAGGAACAGGTTAGGATGAAATTTGTATCTGCAAAATATAAGATATTTTACTGTGTCATAGCTTCTCTATTCAGTAGTCATATAATAATGGCTTACATGGTGTATGCACATGATGAACAAATATGACAGTATGTAAAACAATAAACAGAATCACTGAAATTTGAAGTGTGATAAATCATAAAGATATTTTAAAGGTTTTTCCCCATACTTTTAAAATTACACTTCATAAAAGCTGTAACTTCTGCTATGGCCTTGAAACTATTTGTATTTTCCATGAGATGGCAGTTAGAAGATTTTCTTCTTCTTTATTATTTCAGAGGAAATCCTTTAATATCAAAGCTGTATGGCTTGATGAAGAAAATAGTAGTTTCACCACGGGGGTTGGGTCTTATTAAGATCAGCCCTTTACAGTATGTAATTTTTTTACTATATAAGATATTTTTAAGTCCCTGGACCATACTTGAGAAAAATTCTGTTCCTATCAGACCTTACTTATCCAGCCATTAAATAAAAAAAAAAAATCCAAAACTTGAATAAACATTGAAATTACTGGGATATCTGTGATCGGTTTTAAAGCACAAAAAATACTAGGTTATTCAGAACCCTAATTTCTGAAGTATGGTTGCATTCTGTTTTTTTTCTCTGACTGATTTTATATTTAATGCATATTAAAATATTTTGTTTGAAAAATAACGCTTTTCAAAATAGATTTTGTGATAATCTTATAGACAAAACACACTGCTGGAATAATAAGCTCAGTATTACTGATATTGTTAACTGACATTCTTGAAACAGTGATGTCACCTCTTAAAAACTATCTTAAAAATGAAAAAAAAACCCTTTTAAAGAAATGTTTCTAATTCTGGTGGTGTGTTTTTTTTAAACAACAGCGAATCAAAGAAGGCAGCCTTATGGACCAAACCAAAACCGTCTGCGTGGGTGATCACATAGAGACCATAAATGGAAAAAATGTGTCAGAGTTTCGGCATTATGAAGTTGCCAAAATGCTAAAAGATCTGAAGAAAGGTCAGAAGTTTAAGCTGGAGTTGGTAGAGCCTTTGAAAGCATTTGGTGAGTGACCTGACTGTCCACCTTATTCAGTAAAATACCTTGATAGTAAAATCCCAACGTTGCCATTACATTGTTTGTTCTCAGAATGCAACAGTTGCCCACCTAAGATAACGTAATGACTACGAGAAAGCACATTTAGTTTTTTTTCTTTGAAGTGGAAGATTTATGAATGGATTTTCTTCCGTCTTTCTCCAGCAGTTGTCATCCTGGTGTGGGTTACCTCAGCCTGAGTCTTAGTCTCAGTCTCTTTTGCCAGTACATGATTTTGCAAAATAAGTACAGCAATTGTTTCATGGGTATGGTTTTAAAGCATTGATCACTTCACTAATGTCCTGATCCTCAAAACTTCTTTTGTCCTCCATTGATTCAAAATCTCTGTTGTTGTGTGTCAGACTTTTCTATTTCTGTACCCTTTACTGGGGCCTGTGCTCTCTAATGCAGAAGGAGTCTGCAGCAAACACTCTCTGGGATTCCCCAGAGCACTTCCTTTGCTGCCTCCTGCCTGCCTGTTCACCCCCTCCCTCTCCCCAGCCTTTCTGTGGATCTCCAATCATGCAGCAGGTGTAATCAGAATTGGAAGAAAGCAGAATTGCAAAGCTGTGTTTCTACTTGCCACCTGCATGCTATGAGCAAGTCTGCTTAGATAGGATGAATGCATTCCTACTGTTAATTCTTGTATATATTTGATTCTATCTATGTAGATAACAAACAAGGGAAGTTTTGCTCTGGCAGTCAAAATAGAGACTGAGTTATAATTTTTACTATCTCAATTTTTTGGATCCCCTCCCCAAACCACGTAGCATTTCCCTGTAATAAAAACTTCAAAATAGTGCTAAATCATAAATTTGTGTGAAGCCTTCTGCATGCCATGCAATAACACTGTCTTCACTACAGTGGCAAAAATTTTAAATGTTTATTTTTCAAAAATTTTTTTATGTGTTAGTAGTTTACAGCTACTGTCATACACCAGTCTTGACACTTGGTGTCAGAATAGCAGCAGAAATTGAAAATGAGAGAAATGCAGAGATTTCTTTTTGCTTTTGGTGCTTCTGTGAAGAATGAGTTATGAGTTGATCTCTAGTGCATTTGTATATATGTTGGTACTACTGTTAAGTAAATGTGTATGTTATACATTATGCTAAAGAATTGCATATGTTGTCTATCACAATTAGTAATGCAGCAATACCCTTTTTTAATATGGGCCTATAATTTGTGTTCAGTGTTGAAGTGTTACACAGTCTGTAAAGAGCAGGGTTAATCAGCATTTGATTGATGACTTCAGCCATAATTTAACAGTATTTACTTTAGTCAGGTGACTGAGGCACTTTTTTGCCTACGATGTAGAGGAGGAAATGCATTAATTTCACGGCAATATCTTTTTTCTAACACTGATTTAAGAGGCAACCAGAACGTTGTGGAGAGATTTTTGGAAGATACGTGGTTTTTTTTACCCTACAGAAATTAACTTGCAAGTTCCAGTGCTCAGTAGGTTAAAATGTCCTTTAGCCTTAGGTACAGTTTAGGCTTCAGGCACAAAGATAATGAATTACTCTAAGAATAGCCCCAGAGGAGATGACAGACAAGATTCAGATCCTGCTGGACAAGTAGGTGCTGAATTCCTGTTAATTTCAACAGAATTTGATGAGGGTACAGAAATAAGAGACAAGCCTCTGTGTGAAATTATTTTTATTTTTCTTCCTCTCAGCAGAATGTGAAATAAGTAAAATATACTGGTTGGACATGCTTCTACCATGTACACACAGGCTGTCTCAGCTACTCTAGACAAGGCTGGTAGCATAGAATTAAAGATTTGTACCAGTCACAAGCTCTGTGAATTGTGAAAAACTAATAGAAACAAAGTAAAGGCAGCATAACACAAATGCTGCTTTTTAATTATGTGAACATGAAAAATAGTTTCTGTGATAGCCAGAGTGTTTTGGTCTGAAGTACTGCAAATAAAGGTTATGTCAAATCATGAGTTTTAGGGTGATAATGGTGACAGAATTTGAAAAATACAGGTTTTTTTTCAGGAATGACTTTTTGAAACAAGTCTAGCAGGAATGATGACAATCTTAAGGATGTTTTAAACTGTTCTTGAAGCAATAAAAGGATTAAGAAAAAGTGTTGCTCCTAAGTATAGGATATATGTAAGTGATATATAAGATATATATAATACATGAGACTATGACATACCTATTTGTATCATAGAAGTGAATAAAATTTACTTTTCAAGACCTGTTCAGCATAATAATCTAGGTTTATGACTACTTATGCAAGAATGATGAGTTGAAATCTATCTGAGCAAAGTTAATATATTATGTTAAATTATTGTATTCAAGAAGAGCTTATTAGAAAAGCCTGTTGTTAGGAGGAGGAATAATTTACTGGAGAAAACAGGACAGTTAAAAGCAGTCCTGCAAAATTGTCTCCTCTCTTCTAGCACTTTCCAGATTCACTATGTAACTCCCATGTCAGGTAAATTAAAGCCTTGCCACTTTTGAATGTAAAATTGCATCCTGGAACAAGAAATCTTAAATGATTCCATGCTCCGTTTACTAACTGGGTTGCCCTTACCCAGGATTCAACAGGAAAGGCTAAATTCAGGTAAAGGAAACTTTGTGAAAACCAGATACACTTCTAGAGATTTATCAGCTGTGAAATGATTTTGGTGAAACCAGTGGAAAACCTCCTGCAGCTCTGCTTATGGCCACTTCACCTCCGAGAGTGCTGATAAGCAAATTAGCTCAGCTCAGTGTGGCTGATCACACCTGCTTAGCAGGAGTGTTTGCACCATTGCATCAGTGAAAGGTAGAAATGTTGCAATGCTAAACCTGCTCTGTGTTCTGTCTGAACAGAGAAAAGAAGGATCAGAATAAATCAGCAGCTGGCTGGTGACTTCAGCTGCTATCTAATATAGAGGTATAAATACTTTTCTGTAGAATAGGGAAATAAAACTACACAAGGTGCACATATGAAATGAATTCCATGGGCCTGCTTAGATTTGTTGGTCAATGGAAGTCCTAGCCTCAGTGTAGTTGAGCAGATATTAGAATTTAAAGACAAGAAATTGTCAGCAAAGCTGTACTTAGAATAGGTAATTCATTAGATTTCTACATAGTCTAGATCTTGATTAGAATAAAATGTGAAGATATCATAGTAACCAAAACAGATACCACATATTCTGTTTTATGTAGGTTTTTTTGGTATTTTATTTTTGTTGGAATTTTTTTTTTGTCTTTAGAAAAGCTGGAACCAAGATCCAAAGGCAGAACTCTGTCAGAGGCTAAAATCTCCAAAGGGAGAGAAACACTTCGCCTGAGAACCAAAGGCCCTGCTACTGTGGAGGAAATGGTATGGTGTGGTATATGCCCTTCTGCAGTTTAATCACCTAGTTTCTGGTTTATTCTTTCCCAAGGCTGAGAAGTAGGAAGGAAAAATGTGGATGTTACAAAGCTTGTGGGACTAAAGAGAACAACTAAAGTTGACTATCAGAGATAGGATGGGGCTGAAGAACCTGGAAGCAGAGAACCTATATTTAGATGTTATGGATTACATGGATGAATTTAAGGTAGATTAAACCAAGGAGTGCTGAAAAGAGGGAATGGGGGGGGCGGTGGGGAAAGAGATGGGATGGTTGTGAAGAATTTGTTCCATTTCTGACACAGCAGTGTATGGGGTTGGTGAAAGGCTTGCTGTTAGGAGAAGCTAATTAGATACATTGATATGAATTTGTGCAAAACCAGGATTAGAGTTTGGTGAATAAATGTTATTTCTTCTGGGCTCTTCTAAAGCTGATGAGGATTTGATGGAGATCTGTATTGTCAGGAGATAAAAGGCCCTTGTTCAGTTTGAGTGTTTGAAGTGTGTGGCTTGATATTAGGAGGAAAGCTCATGTTTGTGAGAAGAGGGAAAGAGAGTGGAATAGTGTGTTTTACCTGTAGATTTTGTAAGTCTTGGTGGCTGAGATGGGAGTAAGGATAATCACTGGCACATTGCTGGTTGTTTTGAAATCTGCATGGATATAATCATACTTTTGCTCTTCTCTCCCTTTGTTCCAACAAAGCCAACTGAAGCTGAAGAAAAAGCAATAAAAGAAGTGGATGAGCTTCTTGAAACATACATGGGCATAAGAGATACTGAATTAGGTGAGTTTTTAGCAGATACATTACTACAAGATTAAATAATTTCTCGTTTTCTGTATTCTAAAATTTATTGAGTACTTTAGTCTCTGGATGCAAGTGAAGCAAAACTTGTCCAGCCTGCAGTCTCAAAAACTTGCCTGTATTTCTGCAGATGTGTTTGTCTGATAAAAGAATCTCCCCTTCACTTCAATCCTTATGATGTAATGACTCAATCTATTACTCATTACTTATGATGTAATTAATCTATCGACTCTATAGTCTATCTACTATACTATTCTTTCTGAACATTATCTGTACACTGTTGCATGAATTTTTTAGTTGTTTGCTATAACTGTCACCACTGTATTCTTTCTGGCATATATTTTCTAGTGGATCTTGTGTGTGCTGTGGTTAAGGATTCTTAAGGATAAGTATGTTTATTTGCTTTTCTGCCCCTTGGCATAGACAACATCAAAGTTGATTGCTAAGGTTTGAAACTGAGATCTTCATCAGTGAATAAGCAACTATTTAGCAAGGGAACTGGCAGAATAATTACACAAATTTATCAAATCTCTAAGACCTGTGTTCTGCCAAACATGAGAAAACTTACAGAATATTTACTAGTTATAAGAATCATTGATTTATAATGAAATAAACTACTTAAACCCAGCGTCATAAGTTCCTTAAAGATGCACCAAATTTGTCTTTGTGGCTATTGCTTTTCTTTGTTATTCTGACAACTACTAAATAGGAATTTCTGTCTGTGTGAGAAGAAGCTGCAGTCCAGCTGTTGTAGCCTGCTGTGGCTGGTGTAGTCCTCCTGGGATATTGTGGAACTGCTGGTACTGAGACAAAAAGGAAGGTATTTATTATTAGGGTAATACCTTAGAAGAATCAGCCAAGAAAAATGAAGGAAGAGGCTAAATGGAAAGTTATCTTGAAAAGAAAGCTTTCATGAGAGAGAAGTGGCAAAGTCAAAGCAGAAGAGAAAATAGGTCTGACATGAAGCTCCAGAGGGTGAAGCATCAGGGCTGGAGGGGCAGGAGTTAGAACAGAGGATTGAGAACACAAGGTGGTTACTGAATAGCCAAAAGGCCTTTGTTGGCTGCTCCTACCAGCAAGCATCTGTTTGGGAGATTCTACTAGGTTTTTCACAGGAAAAAAATATAGGTGAAACAATATTTGTCCTTCAGCCTAAGGTAGAAGTGGGCTTCGTGTCATAGAAGAGACGTCAGAGCTGCCCAAAACTTGAGTTCTGTTTTGTAGGTTCTATCTAAACTTTCCTATTCCGATGAAAGTGGAAGTTCTCAAAATTTCTGTTCCCAGAAACTCTGTGATGCTGCTGTGTTACACTCCTGGGAGGCTTGTGTGGTGCTGAGCCATGTTTAGGTTGGGGAGGATTCCATGTCCCAAATCACTTCTGCAACCTCTGCGCCTCAGTCCCTTCCTGGCTCAGGCTTCAAAGCTCGGAGTCCCCTGCCAGCTGTCCCTCTGGGAGCTGTTTTTGTCCTGCAGCTGTTGCAGTCCTGGCTCAGACTGGGCTTCTGGAAGCTCCTGTCCTTGCAGGTTACTTCCAAGGTCCCCAGGCTCCTTGCCCTACAGGAATAAGCAGCTATAGGTGGTCTGCTTTTGGTGTCCATGGGAACAGTCCTGTGGGAACTGGTGTTCCCTGTGTTTTTAGCTCTCAGTACTGTAAACAGGATGGCTCTTGCACAGTAGACTGAGAAATTCAGCTTTCAACACACATGGTTGAGTTAATAGCCAAGCACCTGGTAGAGTTTTCCCATGAATTCCTTGAATTTTCCTCCCTCCAAAAACATCTAATACCCTTCATCTCTGAGTATGTAGTTCGGAAACTGAAAAAAAAAAGCCTTAAAAGAATACTCAAAGAAGGAAGAGGTCTTTCTTCATAGAAAGTCTCTTTTCTTCCCAGCTAGGTGGTTGTTTTGTCCCTCACCTCTTTTTTTACTTCCCTGAAAGGTAGTGAAAGAAAGAGAAGCTGTCAGAAATCAAAGACTACAGAGTTTGTGTAGCTTTGGTTTGCACCTTTGAAGCCATATCCTGAAGTTCAAATCAACAGAGTCAACAGCCAACAGTGATGGCTCAAACCCCCCAACCTTATCATTTTAAAACAATTAAACAGCTCTAGGATTCTTTAGGAAAGGAGAGCTAATCACCTGTCACAAATCTGTTCAATTAACACATGTCAGTTTTTCACATACTGGATGTGATCAGTCACCCATGAAAATGAAATATGAGGAAAAGATTCATTCAGAGAATGCCAATCACCACTTAGCTGGAAATTTCACTCATTACTCAAGCCAGATTAGCTGAAAAATGCAAGTCATCACAATGTGCAGCTGACAAGTGATTAAGATCTCAATCATTGCTCACTTCCATGCACTTCTGTTTGTCAGAATTTTTGGATGTCAGTTAATATTGCTCTTTCATCTCCATTAAAATGTCACTTCCATGGTGTGATTGAATTCTGAAACAGTGCCCCAGTTTCAAGCCATAAGTTAGAAAGAAAGAAAAGAAAAATGAATGTTAAATTACAGACAGAATTAAAGGTGAGATAAAGCCCTTAATTTTTGCATGGCTAAGTATCTTGACAGTTTCAAGAATGGCTGACTAAATCTACACACAAATCCCTAGGTTGGGCCAAAATACTTGGAAATTGTTAAAGAAAATGCATGCACTTTTTTTCTGGCAAAGTTTAAAAATTTTTTTACATACCTGCTTTTGGATGCATTTTTACCTTTTTACTTCCTTACTCCTTTGTACTCATAACTGGGCTTAATCCAGAGAAAGGACAGTTGACTCTGGAAAGGTTTACCTCAGCCATTTTATGGGCACATTAGAAATTGGGCCAAGGCTTAACTTCAGTATTCTTTAAAATATAAATACACAGCTGAGAGATAATTCAGGTTATTTTAAATTCTATGAGTGCTTTCTGGTAAAGGAATTTGAGCAGCTGATTAATAAGAGAGACACGGGAAACAGTGTTAGTGAAAAATATTTGCATTTATTTTTTTTAAATCAGCAAGACTTGAATTGTTATGGACAGTATTTAATTCCAAAAATTCTGGGTGGGAGGAGGACTGGGTCTAACCCCAGAATGCTACTGATTGTAAATGATGACAAAAAGGCTTCCTGCCCAAATTTTTTTTCAGCATCTTTTGTCTTCATCCACCAATATTTTGTTCCTCTTTGTTCTATTTTTCTACTTTTGGATGATTATTTCCTTTCTGTTGCTCTCTATAATATTATCAGACATGACATATCATAGAATCATTAGGGTTGGAAAAGACCTCCAATGTCACTGAGTCCAGCCTTTGACCAAACACCACCATGCCAACTAAACACAGGCTGAGTATCACACCCAGTCATTTCTTGAATACTTGCAGCCATGGTGACTCCACCACTTCCCTGTGCAGCCCATTTCCATGCTTAACCACTCTTCAGTGAAGAAATTTTTCCTGCTGTCCAACCTGAACATCCCCTGGTGCAGTCATGGGCTATCACACTATATTAGGAACGGCAAGGAGTACGACACTGACTCTCTTAGCTGCATTGTTCAAGAGAGCAGAGTTTATTATTCTTAATCTTCTTTTATACACGTTTGAGAAGGTCTGAGAGGTAAAACTCTCATTGGTCATTAAAGCAACATTAAACTGTAAGTGGAACACCACCCCTTGACTAAACAACACCTGCAGATTGTTGTCCTTTACCAAGGACTGTTTGGATTCCTTCTTATGCTTTCCCAGGCCAGAGTGAGAAGCCTGTGTGACTCAGTTTCACACAGGCTCTATGCTCCCTGCCTGCTTTTAGCATCCATAATGGGCTGCCAGCTTCTCTGGGAGAAAGGTTTGGGGAATGGTATCAAAGGCTTTACTGAAGTCCAGGCAGACACATCCACAGCCTTTCCCTCATCCTGTGGGTGGGTCACCTGGTCTTAAAGGAGATCAGGTTGGTTAGGCAGGACCTGCCTTTCCTAAGCCCATGTGGCTGGGCGTGATCCCCTGTTTGTCCTGTACATCCTGTGTGATCACACACAAGATAGTCTGTTTCAAAGCCTTCCATCACTGAGATCAGGCTAAAATATCCTTGCATATTCTGTCCTTGTTTAAAAAAAAATTAAAATCCACTTCTCCATTTTTTACTTCATTTTTCAAACTTAGCATCTGGTCAAAATATCTCTATGGGTTTAAACTTTTTTTGTTACCCAAGCTTTTCTCTTGGCTTGCAAATCCAACTCACCAGTACTCAACAGATGTTTTCATCTCTAAACGCTTTAAAGGAAGTGATATTCTCCCTGAATCTGTTGTTTTCTTCTCCTTCTGTCACCACACTTCCTTTCCCAAAGGATTTTATTGCATACATCCTGGGGTATATTGTTTATGGCTGTTCATTTACTCTGAAAGAAAAATGGGAATTTTTTGATAAAAGGAAGGGCAGAAAGTCCAGTTAAACAAACAAAAAAAAATTCAAGGAGAATTAGTTTTTATGAAAAAGGAACAATAAGAGATACTTCTAATAGTTATTGAGTACCAGATCTTACAATGTTCAACATGAAACTTAAACCAAGTAAAATTAAATACTGGAAACTGCAATTACCATGCTTCATTTTCTGCTTTAGAATGACAGGACAGAACAATAATATTTGTTACTTTTTGATGAAGGCAAAACTTCTAATAGCATTACAGCTAAAATAAATACTGAGGCTCCTGTCAGGACTTCTGAAAAACGTTTTTTTCAGAAGTTACAGCATAGGATATAGGTAGCAAAACCACTGTGTAGATAGTAAGAATGGAAGGCAGGAGGTAGCTTTCATGGCTTGTGCCCCATGTGTCTATTAAAAGCGAAAAATAAGAATTTTGTGAAAGATCTTTGAAGTTATTTTAAATGAGCTAGATTTGAAAAGCTAACATATTACTGTGCTCATATTCTGGGAAGCCTGATACTAACTTCTCAGTTAAAGTTGACGAGACTTCTGATTCCTTTCACCACTTTTAAGATGGCTGAACTTTTAACATTTTATGTAAAAATGAATCAGATATTAGCATTGCCTGAAGTGAAATGAAAAAAAGGAAAATTTGAAAACAAATGAGGCTCTTTTGACTGTGGAAAAATATTCTATTGGAATAAAATTCCTGTAATCACTTATTGTGCAGCTCTTACAAGAAGCAGTGGGGAAAAGGGCGGGTAGTGGAGACAATCTGGCACGAAGCTGTCACCCTCTGAGAACCAGCAAAGTTTTCTGCAAGCTGGCAAGTATCTGCTAAACGCCTTGGCAGTCAGTAGGCTGGGAACTTGGTTCGAACCTGGATTTGATTCCCTGGGAATTCGGCATCGCAAACGTGGCTGTGTGAGCAGGCGTGTTCCGCACAGGAACGCCGTCCCGCGGCTGTGGCAGCTGCCCGGGGCAGCAGGAGCGCGTTCAGGGGCTGGCAGAGAAGCTTTGTGCATCGAAGTGGTGAACAGGGCTCGGCTTGGCGCTCTGGCAGAGCCCGGGGGTGCCGCAAGTGCGCGGAGATGCGCAGGGCAGGCAGGAGGAGCGGAGATGCGCAGGGCAGGCAGGAGGAGCGGAGATGCGCAGGGCAGGCAGGGCAGGAGGGATGAGCGGAGCAGGCAGGGCAGGAGGGATGCGCGGAGCAGGCAGGGCAGGAGGGATGAGCGGAGCAGGAGGGATGCGCGGAGATGCGCGGGGCAGGAGGGATGCGCGGGGCAGGCAGGGCAGGAGGGATGCGCGGAGCAGGCAGGGCAGGAGGGATGCGCGGGGCAGGCAGGGCAGGAGGGATGATGCGGGGTAGGCAGGACAGGAGGGATGAGCGGGGCAGGCAGGGCAGGAGGATGATGCGGGGCAGGCAGGGCAGGAGGGATGCGCGGAGCAGGCAGGGCAGGAGGATGATGCGGGAATGCCCAGCAGTGCAGCCGGGCTGGCGCTGGAGGTCAGCACCGCCCCGCTCCCGCCGGCTTCCCAAGGAGCCGGGCTCATTGCATCCGGTGGATCGGGAATGCGAGTGCGCTTCGGGAAATATACTACATTAAATGTGCCCTGCAGCGCCGATTACGCTTACTCAGTACAGATGAAAATGGGTTTTTTTTTGAGGTTGTTTTAGCATGGCAGTGATATTCTAATTCTTGCTTGACTGGGTTGAAAATTGATCCGCTAAGTTTTTAGCGGATTTTGCTTTCAAGTTTCGTAAATCTGTAATAGACAGTTTTTAGATTCTATTTATTATTTGGGAAGGTCAATCTTTAAAGAAAGTTGTGTTTGAAGTTACACTTTTTGTTAATGACAGTTTATTATGCGCAATACTTCAGCTAGAGCAGCAGGAGCACATTACTGTGATGTAATGCCTTGTTGTCTTGTTTCATTGCTGCTGTCTGTGTCATATAGTTCTTACATATCTCTTGGCCAGTTTATCTCAAAAATAGCTAAATTCCCCACTCCCACCCTGCTTGAACACTTTTCTAGATCTTTACTCTTTCGATGGCAGCTTTTTCTAAATATCTGGTGTAGCAATATCTTGACCTGCTTGTTCTTACACTACCTTGCACAGCTCTTTTCTCTCCACCCTTCTCCCAGTGTCTATAAAAAGTAAGTTCACATCCTGTTTCATATCCAGAAATCTGTGAAGTTTAAATTATACCCTTCATCTCATTGTCTCCAGGCTTGCTTCCCTATAATTACCTTCTTGTGCCACATTATCAGGGAATATAAAGTGGTGTTGATAGAACAAATCCTTGTGTTCCACTGATCAGGAACAACAGTCCCCTCTTTAATACCCATTTCCCATCCAGATTTGTCTGAATCAGAGTCCCAGGAACTTCATGGGGGACACAGAGGGAATCCGTTCAACGGGGATAGGGTTTCTTCTGGCAGGGTCTTGAGGATCCTTGAGAACCACTAGTGGTGCCTGGGAAGCTGGGGTACACTTGAACTGTCTCCATCACAACAGTTTATTTGTCAAGATTTACATAAATTTTCCTTGGACAGCTTTGTGTAGTTTGACACACCGTGATTGTGTTTGGAGCCTCACATCTGAACGCAGTTGAAACCAAAACATCAAGTTTCCTCAGAATTACTGTTGCTGATGTTTACAATGTGGAATATGGCTCAAGCTTGCTTACAGCTTGTTACATGTTTGCACAACAGCAAGTACTGTGTGCCAGAAGTTCAGAACTGTCAATAAATTTGAGCTGAGTTTTAGGTCAACAAAATAAAGTTAAATAAATTTAGTAAAACTTCAGAGCAGGGAAAGTTTATTTTTGTTTTTATCAGAGAGATTTTGCAGTGTTGATTCAATACAGTATATGTGGTAGATGGCAGACTGCCCCAGGGAATGTTTTACTGTGGCTTAAAACTTCCTTCCCTTTCTCAGGCTCTATATTATGTGTTTTACATATGGACATTCCTCTAAGAAAAGGAGAGAAGCTATCAGATCCTTCACTTTGACACTCGAATTTGATATGCTCATAAAAAAAGTGGTGGTTATTTGATGTTTAACAAAAGATGGAGGACACCTTGCAGTTTAAGGCAGGTGTGTAAAGTACTCAAGAAATGAAGCAGACTTTGATGTTTCATCTATTGTACTATACCATCATTTTCCTGTGAAGAGAGGCTGTGGAGCAGAGATACAGGTCAGCAAATAAACTATTGAGCAGTGCTGTTTGTGCTGAATGTGTCTTACAGAACACTCTGAGGGACCCAGCTCAACTCTTTTCACCCTTCATGGAGGGACAAGTGTCATGTTCAAGAGAGGTTTAAGCCCTCACAGTTCTCATTTGCTCTAATATCTGTGGGTTACCAGCATCCAGTGTTGTTTGGGATAGAATTCTAAATTTTCCTGGAGTCTGAGAAACTGCAGTGGCAGAAGGTGAGGGATGAGCACAGCAACTAAAGAGTCAGTCCTAAGCAGCGGCCCCAGTGTAGCCATTTCAAAAGTGAGCTCTGGCACTTGATAAATTCTGTACCTTTGTGATAAACAAGAGAAAATGCTGGTGAGTATTGATATGCAAGATACCACAGTTTAACTCAGTTTTATCACTCCTCTGCTTTCATTTTCCTGGATACCAGGATGTTCCTAGTGTTTGGTGGCTCCAGTTCATTGTGCACAGCAGCAAAGCCTTTCTCTTGCTTCTGCCCAGTTTGACCACCTGGCTAAGATTTTCAGAAATAATGTTTTCACTTTCTAGAGGCATAAGCACAAACCTTAGGTACATAATTCCTGTTGAATCCTAAATCCACCTGGCAGACTTTGCAATCTCCCTAAGCTGACCTTCCCAAGTGTTGAAAATAAACATCCCAAATCTATCTTGGCCCTATGTGTTAGCTGTCATTTTCATGATAATTACATTATTTTGTTTTGTTGCTCTTTAGCTGCAACAATTGTGGAAGCTGGAAGAGACAAGAAAAACCCAGATGAATTCGCAGTGGCATTGGATGAATCTCTTGGAGACTTTGCATTTCCAGATGAGTTTGTATTTGATGTATGGGGAGCGATAGGTGATGCTAAGCAAGGACAACTGGAATGAGAACTGTGCAGTTTATCAATCCCTGTTTGAAATACAAATTATTTGCAAATACATCAGAATTTTAATAAATTTATTGATGTGAATTCCGGGTGCTCTGCACAAGTATTCTAACCTGAGACTATCCTTTGCAAAAGAAGGTTTCTAATAGAAATGAAGGTAAACCCAAACTTCTGACAAATGCAATTTAAATCATGTTATTTACATATAGAAATCACTGTGAGGAGAGTGTCAAGGTGATATATTTATACAGAAATCTTACGAAAATTAGGTAATTTTTATTGTACATACACTTTGATACCAATATTCTGAAGAGTGTTAGACATATTCAACAGTTTGGATTATTTTATCTCTTTAGAGAGGTGTATAAAGTTATTGAGAAAGTATCTAGCTTCATGCTGCAGTTCCCTGGTTTTCTGCTGTCCCTGTGTATTAACCTAAAGCTTTAGGTTTTCTTACAGCTTGGCCTGGACCTTGTTTTTACTGTAGGCAAAGCTGGGAAGAAGCTACCTTGTTTCTTTAGAACTCAGATTCAGGGAAAAAAAAATCCTCTGAAACATGAAAACTAAGATCTTTGGATGAGAAAGACTTGCTTGCATTTGAGTCATAATATGCTCTGTCTGGGTTATTACTGAGGTAAGTAGAGTAGAAATGCTTAAACCAGGAAGCTGCTGCTTTATTCAGATGCCATATTATTGCAATAGGAACTGCATAGGAAGAAATAAATGTTAATTTTGATTAATATTAATGCATTTGAATAATATCTGTGATTTGGCACTGGAGACTACAGAGTATCAATCACCAAGTGCTTAATTGATCTTTAGCATATATTTAGCATATGCTAATTATTTCTTGAGAGCTCCCCTCTTGTCTCTGGGTTTTTTCAACATGGCAACACAAGAGAGATATTGAAGGTGTTCAATACCCAAAAGATATTATTGTAATGTCACAAAGAATTGTTGTTTGGATGACAATGCATGCCTAGACCCCGAAAAATATGTTAAACTAATCTTAGATGTTAGGATTTCCAATTATATTGAACATAAATGTTTATTTTAACTACTAATTTTTTACTAATAAATTTGAGATTATTGCAAATGAAATTGGACAAGAATGTGGGTTCTGACCTGGGATGGTGTCATAGCTTTTTAGTATTTTTATATTTGCATAAGAATATAAAATAATAATTACTACAAAAGTTTTTTTTTCTAAATCACTGTCCGAAGAAAATGTCTTTCACTGAATTGCAGAGATCTCTTTAAAATAAAGATTATGCCAATAATTTTACATGTTCTATGTCAATGATTTTTTTTTTGTCTAAAACTATGACATGAAGTACATTGAAAGAACAGCTTCTCGTTCTCTTATCTAGGTTATTGAGGAAGGAGTCTCAACTCCACTTCAGCAAATTTCTGTAAAACTTGGAAATAAAAAGAAACTGTAAGAAGGTGGCAAAATTTTGCACATCCCATTGCTCATTTTGGCCCTCAAGGATGTATTACTTTGCAAAAGGAGTTTGAGCATTTCTTCTTTTTCAATAATTGCAAGTCTGAGCCCACAGTCTTCTGTTTCAGCTGAGCACACTCTCTGTCTTGTAAAGGGTTACTTTAGCTGATTTACTTATGGTAATGAGGGGTTAAAGTGTTGTGGGCCATATAATTTGTTCTTTAAGCTTCTAGGTGAAAAGCAAAAAGGAAATGCCAAGAATTCCTTGTTGGTTTCAAATAATAAAACTCAATGTCAAATTTTGTGGAAGTGTTTATGTACACTAGTGTTAGTTACCAACATGCCACTGGTTATAAAATATATTAAAATTAAGAATTACTTTAAAAAAAGAGAAGAAGTACCATGGATCATACATGAAATGTTGGCTGTAGCAGATAACCCCTTGTAGTTTGACCATTCATTTTATTTTGAGAAATTAATGGTTTTCAATCAATTTATACTCAGGGGATAATTTGTCTCATTACAGTGATAAAATAGTATGATAAAAATAATCTCTGAAGCTCTAATTCTGCAGAGAGCTGACTCTTCTTACAGTGGCTTATTTCTGTGGAGTTTATTTCAGGCCTAAGATTAAAATAGTGATTTCAATTTTACTAGCATTTACTGCAATAAAGCACATCAATATATCTTACTTTTTCTGTGTTCTCAAAGCATTCACTATTTCCAGCACATAAGACAGGTACTACTACCTAATTTGATAGATTATTTGCATTTTCCAGCCATGCAGAAATAAGTTGTCACATGAAAATCCCATTGTCTCATGAAGAGTGATAAATTCTTCTCTCTTTTTGTAATGATTTGTGTGGTAAATTAATCTTTCTTTACTAATAAATTACAGCCTAGCCAATAATGACACTAATGGCTTTAGATGCTTTATACATTGAAAATGTCATTAAATGTCACTACAAAAATCTCCCAGGTTAGTTAGACATACTAATTCTTAGACATCAGCTCTATTTAAATGTTGATCAGAGTGGGACCATAAACATCTTGTTAGCATGTGCTGCACATGGAGGTGAAAGTCGGTGAACAGTCCACTCAAAATCTGAGGTGGAATGGCACAAAACAGTAACTCAGCCCAAACGCTGTTCCAAAAGTGACTGATTCCTTACTTTTATAATTTGGTGCAGAGCCAGCAGAGAGCTGGCAGACAGATGCAATTTGTGCCTTTGCTTCCAGACTTACTGCTATGTTGAAGACAATGGCAAATACACCACTAATTTTTTTCTATTTTTTCAGAGTCTTTAGATAGTCTTTAGATGCAACAAGGGGATTTAATGAATTCTGGTGTTCATAAAAGTTCTGAGCTCATAATCTTAAAAATATGATGAGCAATGAATATTTTACACTATTAAAGGAACAAAATTTTGCAAATTACAGATACATCTTTTGTGACACCTTTAATATGCCAAATTATGCTTCAGTTAAATCTTATTTTATGCAACCCTGTTCATACAATCATTATTCAAAGAGCTATTAATATAATCAGTCTATTTAGGACAATCTTGTCTGCTCTTCAGATTTGAATAGTGCATATACTCTTATTTCTGGATATTATTTTCATCACAATTTGTCTAATTTCTCTCTTTTTTTTTGAGATAAATGTAATATTAAGCTTTGAAAATCTTGATTTTTGTGAATTTGAGAGTGCAATATTAATGTTAAAATTAAGATAATTTATAATATTTTGTTAGACCTTTTTCTTCCTGCTTTTTAATGAGAACTTCTGCTATTTTTCAAATTAAATATTGTTTTCATCAAAAACCACTCTGAGAATGTCTCTTCCAAACTCTGAATATTGTAGTGAGATGATATATTATGCTTTTTAGTTTTTCTTTTTCTTTTTTTTGACAGAAGATATTTCAGAACAATTAGAAATCAGGGCGTTGACTCTTTTCCCTTTTGAAAGCAAAGGCATCTTTGCCATGAATTTCAGAACTCAACTCTGGCAATAAGAGCTTTGTCTGAAATTTATATTCATTATTGTTTTCTTTTCCAGTTCTCTGACTCAATATTTTTGTAAGGCATTTTGCATGTAGATGTTATTATGCATTGGGTTTATGAAAATATGAACAAATTTACAGACTTGGAAATCAAAGAGAAAATCCTCAGTGTTTCATGAGGATGCTTGTAAATACTAATGACTTTGAGTAAAAGTATGCACCCTGCAGTACAGACTGTCCTCACAAAAGGTATGTTTAATGTGTGAGATTCAGGCACTGACAACTAAAATAGACTGAGACTGCATAAATGTACAGAAAATAATCTTTTTTTCCCTATTGAAATATGCTCTGTAATTAAATAGATCACAGTGTCTAAATACAACAACAGAGTCTGTAGATTGAACAGAAGCAATCACCTGATATATTGATATTGTCTTTATCTCTCCCATTGCTTGTAATCAGAGAGGTTGTCAACAGCTTTTTCACAGTTTTCTTTAATGGCTTACCTAAATGACTCCTTACCTAAATCTCTGTTGATGTCTGAGCTCTTTCAGAAAAGTGTATCTGTTGGTTGTGTACCTGCATCATCATTTTGTGGGGTTCTCCCAGTCCCATGAGAACAAATGCAGATTTTCAAGTTGTCATGAACTAACTTCAATATAGTATTTGAAAGAGGGGAAATGCAGGAGAAAGAAATGTCTGCTTTTCTTTGAAGTGAAGAGGTATCTGGCAGGTCAGACTAGAGGCAGTTCAATGGACATCCCTGACAGGATTAGTGTGGAGGGTGGCCCCAGCGGTTCTGCTCAGCAGAACTGCTGCTGTGGTTCTTTGCATGTTTGTCAAGGAACTCTCTTCCCTGCTAATGTTTGATAGGAATGTGGGCTCATGAATGTAGTATAGAAATTATTGCCTAATGAGTTTTGTAAGCCTGTGTGTTTTATCTTGGATATTAACTGTGATTTTTTTCTCCTTGAAGCGAGATAAGTTTATCCAAACCTAAAGGTTATGAACAATGCTCACCAAAGCTTTTCTGTGTTTCTCCATTCTGTTTTCTAACCATTGCATGTCAGAGCTTTTCATGTAGGCAGAAAGAATGAAAATCTGATTGTCTCTAATATTTAAGAATTTAATTACTAAATTTGCTATATGTTGACTTGCTTTTTTCCTGTTTCCTTTTGGGATGAATAATAAAATATTTTATTGTAATTTTTTTTTAGCATAAACTGCATTAGTTAACTATATGAAAGAAATAAAGTATTTCAAATGAGCTATAATTGGAGAAACATATTGCACCACAATATCTAATAATGCAAGTTTCTGCTTACTAAAAATATCGTTTTATTAAGTTTCCCCAAATCTTTTCTTTGTGTTTTTAGCGGGAAATAATGGTGAACAATCAGGGAGGACACCTCTTAGTCTAGTGGAAAAAGTTTCTAATGACAGGCTTAGAGTTATAAGTTGTGCTTGCAACACAGATGACCTGACAATGATTTGTGTAATCCTTTCACTTGACAGCTCTTCCAGTAAAGGCACAAATTTTTACTTTATATATATATAAACCCTCTCTGGCTTGAAATGGGAAAGCAAGCATGGTAAGTCCATTGCAAGTCACAGTCTCCAGGCATTCATATCACAGTAATGAAATCTCTTTTAAAACCCTTCATACATACTTTCCAAACATTCTTATTTTTACAACGTGGATTTTGTTTCCAATGAGTGTTTTAACAGATAGTTTTACTTGCTTAGCTTAAGTTTTGAAACCAGTGAGCCTTTTTGGAAGTGTCTCTAAATAGGCTAAATTTTTAATTACTGATACAGAAACTGATCAACAGAATGACATAAATCTCAGCTATGTTTGTAACAATACCTGAAATGCCCAATGGATGTTTGCCATTAGCAAATTTGGTACCGAAAAAATCCTAACTGTAGCACTACAAAAGTGGAGGTTAATCTCATCTTTTCTATGTCAATAAACTAAAATTGCATGTTGTTTCATGGTTGATATGTTTCCATTATAAACCAAACCAGAAAAGAAAGGGGTCAACTGTGATCAGAATAAATGTTACAGAGTTACGTATGACCTCTTCCCAGGAACAGGAGCATTGTGAATTGAGGCAAAGCTCTAGATAAATATGCTATAACTGCTTTCTCCTTTGGTAAAGAATAAGCTAATACCTTCCAATATCAAGGATAAGTGAATATAACTTTAACATTACTTGTCTGGCAGAACTCTGTGCTACCAACTGAATGTGCAATTTTCTTGGCAGGGTTCTTGGTTAGAGTGAATTGCTGCGAGGGAAAGGTTCATGAAACTCTGCTCAGATTGGTGGTTTGGCTCATAAGGTCCAAGACAGATAATACATTGCCTGTGAGGGAACCAGCTCTTTTCTTGAGCTGTGCTAATTGTCCAACTATTGAGCTAGTGAATTTACCAGAACATTTTCTCAAGAACTGACCTGAGTGATGATTTCTTTTCATCCCCCAGGGTGGGGAACAAAACTCCCAACCATGGCACAAAAAGTAGGCTTATGTTAACGGGATTGCTGAGGACACAAACTAGGAAAGATGACATGACTGAAAAAAATAGTGGAATATTGCAGCCTTTAAAACTTGACTAATACTATTTTAATAGTTTAATAGTTTAAAATGAGAGG